GTGCTTCCCTGGTAAGTGCAAGGGCTTGAGTTCAATCCCTGGTTCGAAAGAAAGAAAGAAAGAAAGAAAGAAAGAAAGAAAGAAAGAAAGAAAGAAAGAAAGAAAGAAAGAAAGAAAGAAAGAAAGAAAGAAAAGAAAATGCCAACACCCAGAGATAAGAAGTGGGTACTCCCAATACTGCTGATGGGAGTGGATAGAGCTGACATAACTCTTCTGGAAAGCAACACAACCAGCACATCAAGTTGCTGGGTATAATAAGCCTTTTAACACAGTCACTCCAGACTGTTCCAGAATCCCAGCAAAGGGCGTAAGGTTGGGGCAAAGATCAGGCAAAAGGAATGAACATACTGTCTCACAATGTTAAAAGCTAGAAAGAGGCAAATCATAAATATTTAACAATATGACTTACCCCAAACAACTGATTAACATTTGGCACTCAGTAACTATAATCTAGGCAAATATTGACATTGCTAACATGCTAACGTCTATTTTTTAATAAAGAGGGGGAAAACACATTTTTAAAAAGTAGTTATAAGGCACAATTTTAAAGGTGCTGGCATAATACACAGCAAAGGAGTTAATAATGGTGAACTTAAGTAGGGGTGTACTTTCTTCTCCTGACTTATACAGTGTTCTAATTTCCTAATCATTTTATAACAAGAAAGACAAGAATTCTGTGGCATTATATATACAATTCTCAGACATTAGTAATTTTTTGTAAAAGTAACTTAGCAAATAAATCTATTACTATGTTTCCTAACACAGAAAGAGTCTTACCTGATGATTTTAGGAGTGAATATTTTGCTATAAGGATAAATCACTATTTAGATTTTTTTTTTTCCCCCCTGGAAGAACCAGGGATTAAACTCAGATCCTTGTGTTTGCCAGTCAAGCACTTATCCTACTGAGCCATCTCCCCAGCCAAAATCACTATTTAGAGAAGTGTCTCTTATTATGAGTTAAGTCTTTATCACATGGTGATAATTGTTTCATGTTTCGATCAAATAAAAGAATTTGGAAAAAGAACAATAAAATCTGTAAAGCCAACTGCTGAGGTTGTCAAAATTAACTCACTTTGAAGAGATAAACACATATGGGTTTTCACTGCTTGTGTTGGAATACAGGAAATGATTACTTTATAAAGCATGTAAGTTTTAAAAGATTCATAAGGTTGACTTATAATTGCAGATCATAACAAGATACTTTCTCTTAGGTTCCAAAGAAGGAGACGAGAGAAGCATCTGAAACAAATAGCTAAGTCTCCTTCCTTTCCCAGCCAAGGATCCTGAAGTAACAATGGTACTCACTGCCTCATTCCTCAACCGAAACAACCTTATTCCTAGGCACCTACAGGTAATGTGCAAATGCTGTCAATTTGTCAAAGTCTACTATATCTGTAAGCTGTCTGTTAATTGAAATGTCATAGATGCCTTGGATATTACCATAAAAAACTAAATGGAAAAGAAGTATAATTAAATTGTTTTATGACCTACCTACTTCCAAGGCTGTTACTTCAGAAGTCCATCTACAGCTGGGATTGTCCATGTTCTATTTTACATGCTTCTCTTACAATCTATGTTCTTATGTTCTATTTTCTATTTTATGTGGAAAAATAAGAGTGGGGCAAGACCCATTGGAAGCAATGCACAGAGGAAAATGTATAGTTTTAAATGTACAAGTTTTAAGTTTCTCTTAGAAAAGAGAAAGTTAGAAAAATAGAATCTGGCCAGTCAGATAGCTGAGTAGACTAAAGCGCCTACTTAGGCAGAGCACAGCAGCTGGGGTTTGATCCCTGAGGGCACGCTGAGACAGTAACTAGAGACCAGACGTGGTGGCGCACGTCTGTAATCCCAGCACCTGGCAGACTGAAAACAGGAGAATCACTACAAGTCCAATTTCCATAGTGAGACCCTGTGGACCCTGTCCTAAAATA